GTGGAAAGTTTCTCTGTGTTCACTGAAAATCTGATTTTAAAGTGCAGGGCTCACAAGCATGAGCTGTAACATCACAAATATTTTGGAAGTCAGTCTTGGTCCAATTCGAGACTTATGTGTGACATGGCTTCAAGTGCAATATAGAAGCTTGAAGTCACCAGTGCACATACATTGAGAATGGATTTTACAGTAGTAGACATCTTGTGTCCAACAGGAAAACTAGAATTAAACAGAATTTGTAAATTTCTGGAATGTTTAATGAGGTGAAATTAAGTATTTTAATGTAATTTCTTTCAGACACACATTATTGTTCCAAACAGACTATTTGTATATAATACTGGAGGGGATCTTTAAGCTTAGTTTGATGTAAAAGGCAAACAATGTTGGATATTTCTTCCTTCTTAAGGGAACATTTTACCCCAGCAATAGCCCTGTATGCAAATCTGACCCTGTGAGAGCATGTAGCCCAAGTAGAGGCAGAGCAGACAGACACAGTAAAACTGCTACAGTCCCACTTACCTGCAGAAGCGTTCCCTCCTTTCCTGTGGAGAAACATAATGCAAAGCTTCATTATGCGTGCATTCCCTCAGGAGGCAATTTAGAAAGGACCTCCAAAACAGAGCAACACGTAAGCAAGAACTAGTTCTAAAAAAACTAAACGTTTTCAAAGACTGTGCTGGACAGGAAGCTGGTGGAATCAGGGCAACAAAGAGATACAGGCAGAGATACAGAGACAAACAGAGGAGTGATAACATAGACACAAACGTCTCTCAGAGCTGTGTGACCTCTGACCTTGCTGCTGCTTTCTGCTCTTGTTTTATCCTCATGGCCTCCAGTTTAACTGGACTCGGGATGAAAGTGATGTCTGCCCCTTCCTTCACCAGCCGACCGATCCACCAATCATTGTTGTATTTCTGCGTGACAGTGTAAAACACCCTTTATGCCTCAGAAGTTATGCTGCAAAAATGTGTTGACATGGATCAGAATAAAGGTCTATATTTGCAAGTGATGTATTTATGCTGAAGGCCTCTCACCTCTTTTATGTGCAGAAAGTCTTTGGTTTCAAAGTTAATAGCGGCACCTTGGACTGGGCAATCTTCATCAAGGGCCCCACAGTAACTCACATTGGTTTTTACTGCAAATGCTACTGGTTTCGACTATTGAAATGCAGAGAGAGTACACAGTATAAATGAGATATAAAGCAATATAGCATCACTCTTTTATACTTTTAGTCTGATGATTAATTTTGGTTCTATAGACCTTCATTAATCTACTAGATTAAATGGGTAAATTGAAAAGCAACCTGAGTATTAAAATGACTCCCCTCAGTAACTGAAGTTGAATTTAAAGATAATTGACCTTTGACCCTCAGGTTCTCACCTTGGCTCTCTCTAGCTGCAGTTGAACCTGGCGCTCGGCTTCACGCCGAGACGCCTCCTGGTCCTCCCCCAGGGACAGGTCGGAATCCGAGGGTCGACTAGTGTAGGAATCGGCTGAACCCTGGAAGAAAGGAGGAGACAAGGTAAATCCATCACAATACCTTACACAGCACCTTGTGGTAGCTGTTGCTACTTGTTCAGATTTTCTCAGGATATAGTAGCTGCTGACTTAAAGCAAATAGCTTGGATGCATCACCAAACAGATCACCTACATCTCCATCCGTGTCTCCCATGTCTTTCTCCTTGTTTAACCTGTCTCTAAACCTGCCTGTCCTTTCCTGAAACCATGTGATCCAGCCTGCAAGGACCAATACGTTCCTGCAGCTTTCCAAAGCAGCTGTCTCTGGGGAACATGTGCGTGAGTACTGCAACAACACCAACTACCAGCACAGTACTTGTTGTCTATTTATCCACTCAGCCAGGCACACCAGATGTTGGCAAAAGCCCAGAGACTTCAACCAGGAAAAAAAACACTAAGACACAACTCTGACAGAGTACTGATAATACGGGATAATGCTATAAAATCCATCGTTCGATCCATTTTCTAGACTCCAGATGGGTCGGTATCAACAAAGGGATGTGGTGTAGTATCACTAGACAAATCAATTTGAATTATAATGTTTTGAGTTTGTTTGTATATCAGTGAATCAAAATGCTTTATATCATCCTGATGAAGACCTCAATATGCCCATGCTCAAAGATTTTCTGGATTTCTGTTTTTTGCTTGATATCAGAATTTTGTGTTTATTTGAAATTTAACACACAAATCCAACATTACATTTGATAGTTGACATTTATAGTGTACCAGATGGTATAATTTATAATTAAGTCAAATAAAGCTTGTGGTAACAACCTGGTATTTATGAACACTAATCGATTGAAGACATAATCAAACTGCCAAATACAAATTACAACAGTCACTTGCACCGACAAATTCAGATTAAAAAAACGTGTTATTCAAATTTATTTGTCTCACAGTGCAGCTCTTACTCCTTAGAATGGATTTATATGTCAATAACCAAATAACAAGAACATCACACATACAGAACCTGACACCCTCTTTAATCTAAACCACATGTAAACTTCCAGACTGATAAAACTCTCACAAAGCCTCACTACATTTGTCCTCTGACTCCATCATTCGCTCTTCCCCCGGTGGCTGCAGTCCCAGATTGGAGCAAGACTGGAAGACTCCTCTCATACCAGACAGGAGCACCCACATAAGAAAGCCAAATATAGCTCAATAACAAAGTCATCCTTCTTTTACCTTTTTTCCCCCACTTGTCTCCTCCTCCCTCTTCTCTTCCCTCCATCCCGCCTTTGCCTTTTCCACTTCCCTCCCTAAAAAATGCTTTAGCTCAATCCAGCACAGAGTTTGTGGCTAAATATCAAAGCCTGCCAGAGCCTGAATAGAGGAATGATATTCTGAACAACAGACCGAGTTCTCTTTAGCACCAAATATCTATACATTGTCTTCACCTGCAATTTTATATTTAGTTAGATTGGATGAAGGACTATAACACAAATTCCCTTTTTAAATAAAAAACGCACATAAGGGGAAAAACATTCCCTTATAGTTAAAGCACAGCACTGCCGGTCTCTTTCTCGTTATCACTGTCCAGGTCCCAAAGTCCTTTGCTAAAGCATCACAACATTTAATTAATCAGTGTTAATAATAATTTGTCTTAATGCTGCATGGATTCCCAATGAGCTTTAATAATACAAAATACTCTGACTGAAATGCTGAGTGGTTTTTTGGCTTTTGAGTGGAAATGTGAATGGCAGATAACATGAGCACACATTATATTCTCAAAGTGTCCTCCATGCTGACAACAGTGTAGGACAATAGACAAATATTGTACTGTATTGTGGGATGATTACAATAAAGTCAGTTCACATAATCACTTGAATATTTGGTCACCCGTGTATTGCTCCCTGTTGCCCCACCACTGACATCACATTCCAGATGTTTAAAGACATTATTTAGAAGATTAACAGTCTTCAGGTTTCAGCATAAATAGTGACGAATAAGTGTTTCAGTGTTTCTTTTTTTACGCTTTTAATGACAAAAGAAGAGAAATTTGTAAAAGATTTCTTTCAATCGTGTGGAAAGTTTCAAATCATCTCATGTAAAGAGATTCTGCTTATATTCTTTCATTCTCTCTTAGTGAATGTTCTTAGTGCCTTTCCACTGTGTGATAAGCCAGTTACAATGTAGATTTGACAAACGTCACCCATTGGTAACTCTGATACATCCCTCCGTGCTGTGCTTATTCAAAGCCACTCACAGTCAGAGAGACTTCAGACTCTTGTCTGTTTTGTATTTCTCTCTATGTGCATGAATGAAGAAGCTTAATGAACAAATGCACCTTGGTGTTTCTTGACCAAATAAGGAAACTAGAAAATTTTAAAATCCTCTTCAACTGATAAGACAACAGAACATTTACTGACACTAATGTGGAAAAAAGATCCCCCTTATCAGCAACATCAAACATATTATAGGCATGCATATTGCAAGCTCTTAAAGCTATTAAAGGATCAGCTCGTTTGTTTTAAATCTTCCTTAAAACAATACTCACATGCCCATATGTTCATTGAAATGTGCTTCCAATGTAAGTCATGTGGGACAAGATCCACAGTTCTCGTCCTGCACAAACATATATTCCAAGGTTTATCTGAAGTTAATATGAAGATATAGTTTTCTTAAATTATCAAATCAAGTAGGTACCTTCCAAGGTACCTTTCATTCTGATATAAATGTCATCTTTGTGTTTCCACAGACAGTCTTTCCTAGCTGAGCTGTGGTGGACAGATAGTAACACAAAGAGGGAATTTCGTACTAAAAAAGCTTTAACTTTTAAATATTCTCACTTGACTGTGGACCAATCACTTCCATTTGAAGTGCATTATATAGGAATCTTTTTAATTCTTGAAATTTCACAGTGGCTTCTGGTTGTTGCACACCCAATGAAACTGACTAAGCAAACAGACAAGTATGGGCTCAACTACAAGAGTTAAAGGTAGGAATGGCTTCATAAAAAGACAAAACAAACAAAATGACAGATTCAAAATCCATGACATTCAACAGATGGGCCTACAAGTTCAGTTGAGGTAGATATACAAACTGCATGTATAGAGTACAGTACGTCCAAAAGAGATGAGGAGAAGGAGGGAGAGAGGAGAGAAGAAGTGGGGAGATGCTGGCAAAGTGAGTGAACCAGAATAGACTTCTGCTGAAACAAGAGTGAGAGGGGAGGGGAGAAGAGAGGAGAAAAACAGAAAGAAGAAGATGTCTCAGAGCAGACAGACGGGGGACTTATGGACGAAGAGACTGAGTTTGCATGCAGAGTGATTAAACAAAATGGGGAGCATCAACAGCGTACCTTGTTACAGATGAGTCCTGTAGCGCTCGAGTCGGAGGCAGACATGATTGTGCTGCCAGCGCTCTCTTCTCCCCCATTGCACAGAAAAAGGCAGAACCCTCCTCCCCTCAGCCCGTGGTTACAGGGGGGAGAGAGAGGGTGGCGCGCTCAGCCTAAGTGCTTCACAGCTGACGTTGCTGCGCTGCCTCAACAGCCATTTCCTATTCAAAATTGATGCCCTGACTGCAGCACTGGTGTGTACACGCCCGCATACTGGTACAGTACAGTGGGTTTCTTCAGCTCCGAGCCAGCCCTCATATAAGAAAAGGATCCTTCCTCTGGTTTCATGCACCGTCTCTCCTCTCCTATCCTCTCCTCTCCTCTCCTCTCCTCTCCTCTCCTCTCCTCTGAGTCGCCCCACCACGCCAACAAATCTCATGTATCCCTCTCCAGCATCACAACCATTTCAAGTTTTTTTTCCATGCATTCCTGTCATGTCAATTCCTGCTTTAAGAAATCCTGAAAAAGTCATATAAAATCAACCAGCCTGGTGTTAACTGTCACACTGCAGAGTATCATTTTTCACTGAGCGCAGATAGAGCTTACAGTAAGACAGAACAAAGACTGAGCAGTTATGTAAGTCATGCTAAATGATAATAACAATAACCAGTCTGTAATTGTCATTCCACTGGCAATTAGTAGCTCCCTTTGCCTAACAGGTGACTGCTTCAACAGCAATAATGACAAAAAGAAAAACAAAGGGTGTAAAGTTAGCAAAGGACAGAGAGAGGGGAAACACATGAATGGAGAAATGAAAAGAGGGAGAGGAATAGAGGAGGGCAGGGCTATGCCCGCCTGCCTGTCTGCCCGCCTTGCACCATCCTCCTGACAGGAAGGTGATGCATGAGCCTACAGAACAGAAATGCAGCGGTGAGTCAGCAAGCAGCCATCTAGAGTCCATCAGATGTCTTAATAAGCCAGCAGAGAGGTCACTATTGCAGGAGACAGCCTTGTTGTTCCTGGCAAGCCCGGACTGCATGCCTGCTCTCCAGGTTGCCCCAGGCACTGAGGACCCTACTTTGCAACCATTATGCTGGCAGCATTCACTCCCTCATCCTGATTCAACTTTGGCTGCTTAGGAATTAAGTGCACTCCACCAGGGCTTTTAGCAAAAAATGTCTCAGGGCTATATTTCTGCGTGGCTTTTCAAAATTAAAGGCAGGCAAGCTTCAAACACACACACGCACAAGCACACACATATTATTGTAGTTAGAGCACCTAACCCCCCCAGAGAGACAGTGAGAGAGAAGATAGGGTGACTATTTTCATCATTAGTGTTCATCCATTGAGTAACAGCCTTTCCAACAGGGGGAGAGGAATGCAAAGATGGGGAAGAAATAAGAAGAGAATTTAGAAACAGAAAGAGGGCAGCAAAGAGGAAAACATACCTGAAGAGCAAATTAGATTGATGGAATTTAAATTACTGTGTGATTTGTATAAATGTTTATCGTGTCATTTGTCTGCTTTGCCTGCGTTAACTGTTAAAGCTCTTTAAATTGAATTGAAGAGAAGGAGACAGAATGAGGAAGACAAGCTGGAAAAGGTGGAAGACTGTGGAGAAAACGGGGTTAAAAAAGAAAAAGGGGGAGGGGTGAAGACAGTCAGTGAATTAGAACAATATGACCAGAGATTAACAGCAGAATCTTTTTTCTTTTATGTTATTTTTGCTTTTCAGTCAGTCTAAATATAGCTCTCCTCTCTTCTCCACTGCTCGCCTCTCCTTCCACTCCTCCCATCACAGACTGGGGTTGGCAGTGGGGAGAGGATAGTGGAGGATTGTCAAAGTTCACTGAGTTTTGATGAATTCCCTCAAGAAAGAGCAAAGCAGATTTGAGACTGTCTCAGCTATATTCACTGATGCCAGATAGCCTATCTGAATGTGAACTAAGTGCCTATATGGACAATAAGAACAGACAGCCACTGATGCTTGTCCCTGTTCAGTCTACAGCATTCGTGTCTCTGCAGCAATTTTTTTCTCCTTCAGAGTAATATTAGATCTAGTTTCATTCAACCCTCCTGATAATGTGATGCAGGTGTACTTAATAATATTTCTTTTTTTAGCACTTTTGAGGTAAAAACAGGAATGTGTTTACACACAGACAATTCTCTGACCATTTGATGTGGATGTGAATAAAAAGATAAGTCATTTTTCAACCATTGTTGGATCTGTGAGACATGCTAATGATTAAGGCATGACTTTTTGTAACTAGTGCTGACACACTACCTTATTTTTGGTACTGATAATACTTATTTTTCAATTCTTTACTTTGAGGGATATAAACATGTCTTCCCTTCTTCCTCTTAAATTCTAAACACATACAAGACCTTAACCTAAATAAAATACAATGTAAAATTGGCAAAATATGTAAGTAAATAACTTATTAAAGATTACGAGAATATGAATTTAACATTCAATGCCAACCTCTAACACCTCAGTTTTTGATACTCTCTCTGCTACTGACACATTTCAGCTGGTACCAAAAAATATTAAGGTTTGATCCTGATGCCCTTTACTTATTTTTTTGCTGAGCACCGTAGAGAAACCACTAAACAACTGAGAAGCTCTGCACCAACTGGGAGCTCAGTGGCTTGCAAAAGGGCACTTCAGAGAGGACAGAGTTCCAGATTTCCCCAACAAATCTGGAGATTTCAGCACAGAAGCTTTGCAGTCACATGCACATGTCTCCAACCTTTTGTGAGAGAGAGGCACCTTACAATCTGTGTGCAGTGGGAGCTGAGGCAGCATTACAGCCAGAGGTGGATCATCCAGAGCAAGAGAGAAGGTCTCCTGACAGTGCAACCAGAGTAGGGCAGAGTGGATCAATAGAAGAGCTACCCAGATTGATACTCCATCCTGTCCCAAGCTGATCCACCCTCCTCCCACTCTAATGTTACCTCAGGATACTTTCTCCCTGCCTGTAATGAGCCCTTGGCAGCCTATAAATAAGCTCTTCCAAGTCATTTCAACACACGCTACAGAACTGCTTTTTCACCAAAGACAACAGCAGTCTGTATGGCGGTTTAGGAACACGGGACATCTTGTATAAGCCAACGTGCAAAGATAAATGCTACAGATGCAATGAGGACAATGTAATGACATAAATCATCATCATTGAATGGGTCGACAGTGAAGCTGGCTGGCATACAGTGGAGGAAGAGGAGCAGGACGCAGCAAGCCTGGCCAGGAATCTCTATCTTTCATCCACCCTGTCGACTTGGCCTTGCCGGCTACACTGTGCATACTTAGACTTTCATCCCCCCAGGGATCCCTCAACCTGACTTCACCAAACTGCTTCAAAGTGCAGAGAGGCTGGAGCTAACCCACATAAAGCTGTGTACCTACAGTGCAGCACAGAATGGCACAGTGCTGCTGCATCCTTCATTAAATCAGATGTGTTTGTTAGAAGCTGACCTGATTTAGACTCTAGGTTTGAGTTAGGCCTAATTGGTGCATCTTGACTAGTGGGCTGAGCTAACTGAGGGAATGTCAGACTTATCAATATGTAATGGCGCCCTACATATTCACACATTCCAGCTTTACGTCTAAGAACAGTGTGTTTTCTTTCAAGTTCGAGTCTTACACATTTAAAGTGGCCACATAGGGTTGTGTTGGTCATTTGTGCATATAGATTGTAAATGTTACAGCCAAGAAAGCCAGATTAATCAACTGGAGATGCTTAAAATAGTAGAATAGAAAGATGTCCCAGATAAGACTGGCCAAACAGACAGATGCCAGAGACATTCTGACTTTGTTCTCGTCTTTAATGAGTAAAAAATAATAAAAAAGGCAAGGTTTCTAAACAGGAACGCAAAGAGAAGCTGATCTGGAATCTTTGGCCCCTTTCAACATTGCTGGTTCATCAAATTTAATCAAGGCATTGCACACTGATGCACCAACACACACACATATGCATGCACGCACACACACACGCAGACACAAAGCACTTTGCTCCTCACGGGACAGGCTTTTAGTGCTCTGTCTCATGCAGTATTTAATTGACCCCACACAGGAAGCCTAGCGGTCCCAAATGCACTCCTTCCCCCCACCAACAAAGAAAGCATGAACGCCTGCAAGTATGCCCACAGCTTCCCACCACTGCTCCTCTGTCACACAGCTGCACTAAATGCCATTTTCTGCTTTAGCGCAACTCAGACTTTCTACAGAAATGTCATTTGACATACATCAAATTTGGTCAAAATGCTCAAATGCCCCACTTTGACTGCCGCAAACATTAACTCCATTTTTCAAACTTTCACTCAAAATTCCATGAGCAGAGTTGAACTGTCTTCCGGCTTCTTCAAAGTAAATCTATTCTTTATCACCATCTAATCAGATATTATTCAAAAAAAGCATGTGGAAATCTACTGTCAGGTTTACGGTGGCTATCAGTGCAATTTGCGGCAGAGATTAGATGCAGAAGAGATAGCAGCATACTTACTCAGTTGGAGGTAGGAGAGCACACTCCCCGTCTCTCTTGCTCGCTCTCTGCTAGTCAGTCATGGTGTGCTCTCTCTCTTGGGTAACACTGAAGTGTACTGTAGCGTGCTTGTAAGCAGACTATCCCTCTCTCTTTCTCAACACTCCCCCCTCCTCTCTTATTCTCCACCACTCTCAGTACACAACCCCTTTGCTACGTCAGTGAGGCTCTCTCTGCTCTGCATATCATCCTTCCCCACCCTCTCTCCTGCTCTCCTCTCCTCCCTTCATCTCCACCTCAGCTGTCCAATGGGAATCTGTATCGCAGCCGCATGTATAGTTCATTCAGGTCTCTATCATGATAGGACGTCACTGTGGCGAGCAAGTTGTGTAGTTTTGTTGGATAGGACTGTATCTTGCTGCAGCAATCGGGCTCATAAAATCTCTTCTCACTGCTATTGCAACGTAAAATCACCCCACACCTTCAGAGGTAAAAAATGAAATAAAGCATATTGTCATTATAATCGCCTCTTGGGATTCCCACTTACGCCAAATGGACAGAAGTATGTGGAAGCCTGAATATTAAACC